TTCCAGGATACTGGGAAGACTGTTTATGTTGTGGATTAGGACTTCTAGTGTTGTTCCTAGCTTTTCTGTAATGAATTTTATAGTCCTTGGTTTTCAAATACTACATGTTTTAAAATCAGGAAAAGTATGCATCAGGTCTGTATCCTTTCTCCATACATATTAAGTCTGTATGGTGAGAAAATAATTCAAGAAGCTGCACTTTATGAAAAAGAATATGCATCAGAACTGAAGAAAGATTCATTAATAATTTGTGTTATGAGATGATACAATCTTGCTTGTAGAAAGTGAAGATGAAGACTTGAAGTACTTACTTCAGCATCTAGAAAATAATTCTCACCACTGGACCAACAGGTAATATAAGATAGATGTAGAAAAGATTGAAAATGTCAATTATTTCATTTAATTGGCTCCACAATCAACATCAATGATTTCAACAGTCAAGAAATTAGAAAGAATGTGTTGCATTAGGGAGACGGTTGCTCTCAGGGACCTCTACAAAAAGCTAAAGAGTAAGATTCATTCAAAGACTAAGATGTGTCTGACACAAGTCATGGTATTTTCAGTTGCTTCCTGTGCATCTGAAAGTTGAACAATGAATAAGGATGACCAAAGAAAAACTGATGCCTTGGAGTCATGGTGTTGGAGAACACTATTGAATATTCTTGCCAAAAGAACAAACAAATCTGTCTTACAAGAAGTGCAACTAGGGTGCTCCTTAGAGGTAAGGATGGTGAAACTTCATCCTATATGTTTTGGGCATATTGTCAGCAGGGGCCAGGCCTTAGCAAAAGATATCAAGGTGGAGAAAGTAGAGGGTCAGAATAAGAGAGGAAGAGCCTCAAAGAGATGGATTGCTAGGGTGTCTATAACAATGGGCTCAAGCAATGTTGGAGATGCTGAGGATGGCACAAGATAAGGGCAAGATTCCTATTTGTTGTTCACAGTATTACTATTACTATGAGTTGTAGCAAACTAGATGGCACATAACAACAACAACTACAATTTCTTTTTTTAAATTTTATTAATTGTAATGAAAGTTTACAGAGACTTCAGATTTCCATTCATTCATTGTTGCACTTTTCGCCCTGCCCAACCTCCCCTCCCCCCCAAGGTTTGCTCTTCTCTTTGAAAAGTAAAAGAAAAGTTCCTTCATTATTTTACAATCCCTCCCCCTAAGTCCACTCCTCTATGCAGCCTTCATTCTGGACTCCTGTCATAACAATAATATCTAATCATCTATACCTTTCAAATAGTTCTCTAATTCATCTGTTTCAATGCAGTATACATTATTTATCCCATCTTTCTCAGTCTACCCCAACCCTGATGTCAGTCCAGTTTTACAACAGTGGCACCATGCAGTATTTGTCCTTTTGTGACTGAGATATTTAACTCAGCATAATGTCCTCTAGGGTCACCCATTTTTATAATATTGCATGAGTTCCTTGTTTTTCAATGCAGAATAGTATTCCATTGTGCGAATATACCACAGCTTCTCTATCCATTCATTTGTTGATGGGCACTTAGGTTGTTTCCAACTCCTTGCTATTGTGAACAAAGCTGCAATAAACATGGGTGTGCATATATTTGCTTGGATGTCAGCTATGGTCTCTTCAGGGTATATTCCCAGTAGTGGAATTGCTGGGTCAAATGATATCTCTATTTGCAACTTTTTGAGAAAGCACCATACTGCTTTCCACAGGGGTTGCACCATTTTACACTTCCACCAACAGTGAATCAGGGTTCCAGTTTCTCCACAACCTCGCCAGCATTTGTTGCTTGCTGTTCTGTTAAATTTTGCTATTCTGACTGGGGTGAGATGATATCTCATAGTTATTTTGATTTGTATCTCTCTTAGAGCTAGGGATTTTGAACATTTCCTCATGTGTTTTGTTCGCCATCTGAATGTCTTCTTCGATGAAGTGTCTGTTCATACCCTGTGCCCATTTTTTTTAATTGGGAACAACTACAATTTCTGTATCCATGCATTTTTTGTTAGAGAGATGGGTTGATTCCATGTCGTTCCTATTGTGAATTCTGCTGGGCAGCAGCCTAATAGGGTGAGCAGGGGTGAAGGCTGTCATCTAAGAGGGCTGTTATCTAAAGTCACGTCATCCTGGACACAGCCAATTTCTGATTTGGGAAGCTAAGCAAGATGTGGCCTGATAGGAAACTGCCTGGAAATACTAGGTGCTTGACCCCTTTCCCCTAGGGCCAACAGGGGTCTCTCTCTCTCTCTCTCTCTCTCTCTCTCTCATTCCCGCTCCCCCTTCCCACTCATAACTAACTCTCCATTGGTTTGGCTTGAGGATTTGAAGAACCCCTGCGAGAGATACAAGAAACGCCCTTTGGGTTATTAGAGCACTGCCAGTGGACTATCAACTTCATTTCACATACTCTGGGCATGTTGTCAGGAGGGTCCAGTCACTAAAGGAAACTTCATACTGGGAAGAGAAGATTAGTGAAAGACAGGAAGACCCTCAACGAGATGCACAGTGTCCTCAACAATGAGAGTGAGCGTGGTGGAGAGGTTGAGGACCGCGCAGGATCCAGCAAAGTTTCAATCTGTTGTTCATGAGAGCTGTCCAGGAACCTAACAACAGCTGGGGCTTCCTTCACTCACTCACACGGAGTCTAACTCTAAGGCCAGGAGACAGCGGATTTGAAAGCTGAAGGAAAAAAGCAGTTTGGAATGCAGGGATAGTTAGTTCTGAGCGAAGGAAGATCCTGGTCCAGGAAGAAGCGCGAGAGAGGGAGACTACGAGAGTATCGCTGTGACTCGTGGCCTCCAGAGCCCCTTGCCCACTTAAAGACAGGGGGAGAGGAGGGCGCCACGGCACACTTCCTGTAGGGCCTGGGCCAGCGCAACAGCCGGCCACCGCCCCCGGGCCACCACGCTGTTCCAGAGAGCCTGTAACCGCTAAGCCCCTCCTTTCCAAGAACTCTGGAGCCGCCCCTGGAAGTCGCAGCATCAGACCGGCCAGAGGGAAAGCAGTACGGTCGATGGAGCCAGGCGCAGAGCCCCGCTTGGAGGGTGCAGGAGCCGACCCGTACAGGCGGCCAGCGAGGCGGACGCAATGGCTGCTGAGTGCCTTGGCACATCACTACGGGCTGGACCATGGCGTGGAGAACGAGATCGTGGTGCTGGCCACAGGCCTGGACCAGTACCTGCAGGAGGTTTTCCACCACCTGGATTGCCACGGCGCCGGCCGCCTGCCTCGCGCCGACTTCCGTGCGCTCTGTGCCGTGCTGGGGCTGCGACCCGAAGGCACTGGCGCCCCCCGGGAGGCCGCGGACGCGGACGCTGGAGACGCGAGCTTGTGGGAGAGCGCTGAGCAGAACACAGACATCGAAGAAGAGGCGCGCCTGGCGCTGTGCGCCGAACCACCCGAGCTCACCTTCCGCCAGTTCCACGCGCGCCTCTGCGGCTACTTCGGCACACGCGGGGGTAGCCGGCTGCCCCGCGGCGCCCTCAGCGAGCACATTGAGACGCAGATCCGCCTGCGCCGCCCTCGCCGCCGCCGCCGCCCTCCCCGCGCTCCCGGCCCGGACAAGAGCGAGGATCCAGAGAGTTTGGCGCGGCTGGAGGAAGAAAACAGCAGTCTGCGCGAACTGGTGGAAGACCTGCGTGCCGCGCTGCAGAGCAGTGACGCGCGCTGCCTGGCGCTGCAGGTGCACCCTGGGGCCGGGGCTAGTGACTGCGGGGCTAGCGACTCCATTCCTCTGTGCCCCTAGCTGGCGGAGGGGCACGTAGAGGGCCAAGGGAGAGGAGAGGACCACCCCGCCCCATCTGACCCAAACTCCACTCACTCTGTGCCACTTCAACCTACTTCTTAACCGTGCTCCCACTCATCCCATCCCTCAGTCCATAGTCCCACTCAGACACCATCCTGCGCCTTCCTCAACCCCATCATTTCTTTCACTTTCCAGTTCAACTGGACCTTTCCAGGGTTATTACACTTATTCATTTTTTAATAAGTCTAGCTCTTCTTGGTGCCAGCCTTCTGTGAAGATTAGTAGGAGACAGTGGTGTAAGGAAGACCCTGCTTAATGTACTTTGTTCATCATCCACTAAATATTTATGAAGCTCCCGCAGGATATCCAGCGGAGAAAGAGCGTCAGATTAGGCAGTGCGCACCCACGTCTGCTGCAGACCAGAGTTGCTCTTGGGTGTTGAAAAGGAAGCATTCCCTGTCAACACACACTTTTCTGCTCAGCCAGTGGTGTATCAGGAACGATCCCAGTGCTAGGAGGAACAGAGCGAAAGGATCCAAAGGAGTACACAGTCTAGGAGGGAGCTAGCTGACTTCAGCTTGGCCACTATTTGGTGCGCCCTTCTGGCTCTGAAGGGCAGAGAAGTGCTGCAGCGCGCAGAGGGATAGCTCATTTTCAGTAGTTACGTTTGTGTCAGCAAAGGAGAAGGGCCCCGAGACGCAGAAATTGGAGGTGAGGGAATCATAGATCATGGATGGGAAATCCTGGCATGTGTCCTGGGGCTGTAAAATCAATCATTTTCCAGGTATATTTTGAACATTACTGTGTAGAGTGCGCTCTGGCGGATTTGCGCTGTCATACCCCAGGCCCTCAATTCAAATCCACCAGCTGCTCTCCGATAAAGAGATGGGCAATCTCCTCTTGTGCAATTTACAGCCTCTGAAAACTCGCTGGAGGGTCGGCAATGGATCGATTCTAATTGGCTGTGACTCGACGGTACAAAACATAATTGACAATTGTGTACCTGGCTTGTTTTAAGCACTGAGGAAACAGCTGTGGGCAAAATAGACATAATTGCATTTGGAAGGCTCTGACAGTCTAGTGAGTAGGCTAGAGAGGGCCTAAATCACAGATTAGGTGCCGATTTGAAACACTGACCTGTTTGATTCTGGGGGCTGTAAGAAGCTCAGAAGGTTGACAGAAACACAGGAAGTGGGAGAGGAGTAAGAATCTCAAAATTTGGGGATCACTGGTACGATGCAAACAACAAACTATGGGGTTTGTGACTCAGACTCCCTCATCTAAGAACTCGTCAAATAAGACCTCTTGCCTTGGTAAAATGCTTATAAGAACTGATTTCCTCCACAGCAGGTTTGATTTGTTGATTTGGGTACGCAGTAGCTCAGAGAATGTGCTTTATTGTTCTGGTGCTCCCAGGATGGTGGCCTGGCGCTCACCACCTGCATCCTGTTCCTCTGTCCCCGCAGGTTGGCCTCTGGAAGAGCCAGGAGGGTGCCCCCCAGGCGGGGCAAGGTGGGTCCGAAGCAGCAGCGTGGGAGCTCCAGCAGGCGCGCGCGGCGCTGACTGAGGCCGAGGCCCTCGCGGGGCGCATGCGCCAGGGCCAGGCCGAGGTGCGTCGGCGCGCGGAGGAGGCCCGCCAGGCAGTGCTGTGCAGCCTGCGCCGCGTGCGCGAGCTGGAGACGCTGGCGAAGCAGGTGCCCAGCCTGCAGCGCTGGGTCAGACGGCTGGAGGCGGAGCTGCAGCGCTACAGGTGAGCCGTGGAGCGGGTCATGGGCTCAGAGGCCCGGGTCCCACACATCACCACCTGTTCTCCCAGCGCTCAAGTGTACCTGCCTGCTTCTGGACCATCTCGTCCTCTGTTTCCTGTGTTGTGTGGTTCTCTAGTGGGTTCTCCATTGCTTGCTCTTCACTCGCCCCCAGCATCGCTCATCCATCTGTCCATCCATCCATCCGTCCGTTTGTCCACTCACGAATTGCCACTGATTATATCCACTGTTCTGTGTTCTTGAATTTGACCAACAAAATCATAATTATGGCCAGAGTCAACAGCGCTCAGGTGGTTCCAAACTAATCATGGTTTTTACGTGGCTTACCTCATTCGCTCTTGCCAATAACCCTGTGAGGTAGGTACTGTTCTGCTCCCATTCTACAGATGAAGAAACAGGTTGAGAATGACTGCTTGTGCTCGATGGTCGATTCCCACCATGGCGGCAACCTGGAGTTGGGGCCAGTGTTCAAATCCCAGAAGGACTTCTGAAAAATGTGTGACCCTGGGCAAATAGTGCCACCCAGCCTCCTCCCTAACCTCGGTCCTCTTCTGCAGAATATAAACTGGAATCCCCGCCAATCCAAAGCAGTGAAGTCCTGCCTAGCCCAGTGTAGTTGCTTGGCAAACATGCTCTTCCTTCCCATTCACATCACAAAACCTACCTACCTACTGACTTCCAGCTCTCTGAGTACCTACCCTGTGTCTCTCTGCACTGCACCAGGCATCAGGGACATGACCAAGAGCAAGACAACAGATCTGAACCCTATCCTCTCCTGTGCCAGTTTCACAATCTCTGACACACTAGAGCCCATTGCTGCAGTCACTGTGTCCACCCAATCTGGTTGAGGGTCTTCCTCTCTTTCACCATCCCTCCACCATTCCAAGCATAATGTCCCTCTCCAAGGAATAGTAGGACTGGCATCCACTTCCTAAACAGCATGCCTCTGGAAACTCAACAAACTTAGAGAAACAGTTCTAGAAGAGGATACAGGTCTTTTATTCATAGGGTCGCTGTAAGTCATGCTTAACTTGATGGCAGTCAACAACACCAACAAGGAATAGCCCTGTCTGGCAATACACCTGAAGTATGTGTGACAAACTTTTACCATCCTTGCCTCTAAGGAGCACTCTTGCTACACCTTCTCCAAGACATATTTATACGTTCTTTTGGCCATCCAGGGTATATTCAGCACTCTTCTCCAGCACCACAATTCAAAGGTATCAATTCTTCTGTCATCCTTACCCATTGTCCAGCTCTCAGATATCTAGCAAGTGATTGAGCAACCACAATTTTAGTAGGGCAGGCAGCAGACATCTGTGAGCTCATTAGCTGCATACTTTTACTCCTGCAGATTGCATGAAAGCTAGGAAGGACAGAGGGAGAGAGATGCCAGCATCTTTATTATCTCAGCTGACAGCTGAGGGTGGGAGATTTCCTGGCAAGATAGGCCTCTGGCAAGAAGAAGGGAGAGTGTGACAGAGTATAGGAAGAGAGGCAGGGGGCCCTTGGCCCATGGGGTACACAAAAAGGACAGAGTCCTAGAGGGATAAGCTGCAGGGACAGGCAGCGGCTGTCCTGTGCAGGACACTGAGGGTTACAGCAGAATCGTCAGTCTTGAGCAATGGAAAGCCTCTGAAGAGTTTCAAGGGAAAGATGACAAGTTCACATTTGTACTTCAAAGAGGAGGGGGAAGATCCTGGCTAGAGTTGTGAAGAAGAGCTGTGAGCATGGGGTGGGGAACTACCACTGCTGTCATCTTTCCAGCACAAGCAGAAGGTGGTCTGGCTCTGGCTGGGCACCTTTACTCTCGGCTCCTCAGAGGAGGGGCTGTGTCCTTCTGAGGCACTCACAGCTGGCAGATGTGAAGCCTGAACGGAGGCCTCCTGAGGAGGCAGACTCTGGGCTAGCCTCCCACTGCACCAAATGTTTGGAAATTCATTTCCTGTTTGTATAATTGATCAACTAAAGAGCAGGGCAGGCTGGCTTGGGGACCATGTCCTGCCTTAGAACTTGCTCCAAGAGGAGAAGTAAAGGGTTTACTCCCCTCTACCCAAAGCAAAAATCAGTCCTTTATAGTATGGTTGTAAGAGCAAGTATAAACATTGGTAGTCTTTTATGAGTAGAAAACGTGTCTTTGTGTTTACTGAATCACTAAATTTTCCCAAAGACTGAACAAGGATAGCCGTGGCATCTCCATTTGACAGACTGTGGAAAGAGAGGATCTGAGAAGTGAAGTGACATCAATACCCAGGGCCACACAACCAGAAAATGGAAAGGAAGGTCTCTCTGACCCACCACCTATGCTCTGTCTTTCCTTCTGTCTACACTTCTTTTTTTATTTTATTTTATTAATTTTAATGAACATTTACAGAGACTTTGGATTTCCATTCATTCCTTGTTGCACTATGTTCTCTACCCACCCCCCAGTTCATTCCTCTCTCTTTTCCCCCCTTGAAAGTCTGTTTTAATTGTCCCATTGCCACAGTGCTTGTCAAAACCAGTTCTGATTAATCTACTTTGTCAATGTGTCCTTTGACATTCCCTGTCACTCCTCCCTGAGAGAGACTTCACCCTCATTCATAAGGAAAAGGGGATGGCGTATTCTCTTAGCTACTTCCTGCTGAAAAGGGACGCTGTGGGTTTCAGGGTGAAGGTCTTCTCTCACTACTCTAAAGGGCCCCTTTGGCAGTAGGAAACACATAGACTATTATGGAGATTGATTTTGGAATTTAGATGCACTGTTATCAATTGTGCTTAGCCGTACATGTTCATATCCTTGAAGATGTATCATGGAAGTGTTGCAGCCTAGAAGACACAAATTTAACTAACAAGTTAAAAGTACATGAGTCAAAAATTAAAAGCAATAATATTCCAAGTAGAGGTTCTAACAGTGGCACAAATCAAGTTACAGAGGGAAGGTAGTTCTTAAAATAAAAGGCTTATTGACTAGCACTTTGTCTATTATAGATTATAGTCCTTCTGTCTACACTTCTTAACCAATGGAGGGAGTGGGATTTTCTCCTAGTAAGGCTTTGCACTTTGCCTACTAGGATTTATACCTGCTTCTCCTTGGGGACTCTGATGGCTTAATGATAAGGAGTTGTGCGGCCAACCCAAAGGCACATGGTCCCAGTCAACCAGCTGCTCTTCAGGGACAAAGATGGGCAATCTCTTCTGGTGTGATTTACTACTTCTGAAATCCTACCCCCTTGAGGGTCAGCTATAAATAGGTTCCAACTTGACAGCACATAACAACAAACAGCAACAACTCACTGGCCAGAACTGTATTGCAGGTCTACTACCCACAGTGCAGTCTGGGCATGTTAATAAACCAGACAAGATCAATATATATTACATGTATTTGTTTTCATTTTCTTCAGCTTCAATTAGAATTTTCATATGTGCAATTGATAATCTATTCTGGGATGCCTTAGCCTTATTGTAGCTAATAATACTGAACTTACCCACTTTCTCTACACACATGTTGTTGTTGTTGTTTTTGTTATATGCCATTGAGTCGCCTGTGACCCATAGTGATCCTATGTACAACAGTTCTGAAGCCTGCCCTGTCCTGAGAAAGAATCACTGACTCTAACACATCAACTCCTATTGCCCCAGTTACTGTATCAATTTTCACCAACGTCTTCCTCTCCTGTGCTGTCCCTCCACCCTTTCAGCATTATGTTCTTTTCCAAGGACTGGTCTCTCTTCGTCACATGCCCAAAGTAGGTGAGAGCTTCAAAGTCCTAGCATCGAAGGAGAAACTTGGTTTCACCCTCTCCAAGACAGACCTATTTGTTTCCTTGGCGGTCCATGGTATGTTCAAGACTCTTCTCCAGCACCACAAGGCAAAGGCGTCAATTCTTATTCTGTCATCCTTAGTCTTTATCCAGCTCTCTGATGCATAGCAAGAAATCGCAAAGATCATGAACTGGATCAGGCACACCTTCGTTTCTAGACTGACATCATTGCTTCTCAGTACTCTGGAAAGATCCCTGACCACAGATTTATGAAATGCAATTTGTTTTTTTTTTTATTATTTTCTGACTGCTGGGACCAAGAGTGTTGATTGTGGAGCTGAGCAAGCTGTAATTGTTAACAACCTCAATCTCTTCTCCATCCATCATGGTCCTGCCAGTCAGCCCAGTAGTGAGAATCTTTGTCTCTTGATGTTGAGCTTCAATCCATATTGAAGACTACAGTTCTTGACCTTCTGCAGCAAGTGCTTCAGGTCTGCCTCAGTTTCAGCAAGCAGTGTTGTGTCATCTGCATAACACAGGTTGTTGATGAGTCTTCCTCCAATACTGATGCCACATTCCTCCTCATAAAACCCAGCCTCTTGAATTATCTATTCTGCATATAGATTAAAAAGGTATAGAGTCAGGACACATCCCTGATGTCCTCCTCTGCTGATTTTGAACCATGCAGTGTTTCCCTGCTCTGTTTTGAGGACTGCTTCCTGGTCCAAGCACAACCACGTGTTCTGGGATTCCCATTCTCCTCAAGGTTAACGACCTCTGAAATCCTGCCGACTTGAAGGTCACCTGTAAATTGGTTCCAACTTGACAGCACATAACAATAAATAGCAATAACTCATTGGCTAGAACTGTATTGCAGGTCTACTTCTACCCACACTTACATGTTAATATACCAAAGAAGATCTTAGCAAGGAAGAAGGGAGAGCGGATATTGTAGAGGGAAGCAGCTCTGCCTAAAGGTAGTGCCTAGTGAGTGAGATTGAGGGACTGAGAGTGTGTGATGAGGTGCCTAGGCCATGACTCTGTCATTTCCCCCCCTCTGTCTCTTAAAATATAGCAAACTTCCTCTGCCTGCTTGATATGGTTTGGATTTGTGAGTTTAAGGACAAACTTGCCCTGAAGCACCCCTCTCTGAAGAAAGAGGGAGGAGCCGAACAGCCATGGGCATTTCTTGGTTACTAACTGTAGACCATGCGTGGTTCCAGGCTCTTCATCTGTGCTAG